ACTCAAATGAAGGTGTAGAACCATCTCAGGGATGATCAGCAGAAATGGACAGCACCTAAGTTAAATATGAGTGTCACAGAGCAAAGGGTCTGAATACTTATGACCATGTGATATTTCAGTTTTTCTTTTTTAATAAATCTGCAAAAATGTCAAATTCTGTGTTTTTCTGTCAATATGGGGTGCTGTGTGTACATTAATGAGGAAAAAAATGAACTTAAATGATTTTAGCATATGGCTGCAATATAACAAAGAGTGAAAAATTTAAGGGAGTCTAAATACTTTCCATACCCACTGTAGGTCAACTGTTGCATTGCCTCATGTTGCCTTTGTATGGATCAGTCAGGTTGAAAAAGTGACACACTGCAGAGACTACAGCTAACAGAAGTGTAAGCTATAAACAATACAACTCTCATCCAACACAGCTGCTGTTTACAGCTGTGTCTAATGGAGAATATGTCTGATAAGTTGCAAATGATACTGGCGTCCTCTGTCCTTGGTCTTTTGGTTGTGGAAGAAGAAAGGAGGCTGTGGAGGCGGAAAACAAGGAGAAACCAACTAAATGGGTGAAATCATGGACACAATAGCGACAGGCGGAAGGGCCTTTCCCGAACCATTCTCTTCTTGTGCAATGATTTGCTAAGCTCAACAGCCAATCGGTGGTTTCTCTCGGACAAGGCCCAGCAGGCTGATGCCAATTCAACATGTCAAATTAGCCAAAAAGCCACTGACAAAGTCCAATTAGTGCCAACAGTGTAAGACACACCCAGAAGATGAGCTCTGACAGATGCTCACCACCAGCCAGCTGTTGGCTTGATGTGTCACGACCCTAGTACTATGCATCCTCTGACAGAAACAGCTGAGCCTGGGGATGGTCACTACACCAGAGAGGAAAGACAGAGGAGGACAGACCCAGCCTGCAGGTGAGGGGAGGGTGGGGGAGGTTAGCTGCACTGAAGAGGGGAGGCTGCTTAAGATGCCAGAAATATTTTTTCTATGTAAACTGATACAAAATAGCATGTGATCAGATGATTAAATGATTTTTAATTTTCCATATCTCTGACTGAATTTTGGTGGTGGGGTTAGTTTTAGTGTTACTTAGACTACATCTGGATTAAATGTGTGAGAGATTAATGTTCTTTTGCTTGCACAAATTATGGTGTATGCCCATATGCCACCCATGCACGAAATCTGTGAGGAGGCACGGCGGTGAGGGATATGTGTGTGTGTACTGTAGATTATCTTGTCCCGGGCATGAGCAGTGGAAAAGCAAAGCAGAACGGACCACATCAGCACTTCAAGAACAACTGGATTACAGGTATGGGAAGCTCCAAGTTATGGTTCAAATAATGCATTTATTATCAGGAAATGTGATCTACAATACATTAGTCTGGTTTTCTAGATGAACTTTGTATTTTACTTGCACTTAACTTCAAAGAAAACATTGATGAGAGTTGTGTGTTACCTTCACTAAACCATCTCTCTATATATTATACAGTGTGTATAAATATATGCTCATGTGCACACATACACTCACCAGCCAATTTATTAGGTGCACCCATATAGTTCAATCCAACACTTCTGCCTTAACATCTGCGTTTATGAAGCTCGGGACCATACAAGGACCATAGACACAACAGAAGAGTAAAAGTAAACAACTATCATAAACTAGCTGTAAGGTGGATGATTTGTGGGTTTAGTGGTTAACAATAGAGTTTCTCTCTGTGTTATAGTGCTCCCCTGCTGCTGTGCTCTTGCTCTGAATGTGGAGGTAGCTGCAGCATGAGAGACTCTTCACAGGCTACTACTTTGTCCTGCATGCATGAACAGAGCAGACAGAGAAAGAGTGGTTACAGGCTAGGGCATGTCCTCCTTTATAAAGCGCAGGAAAGGAAAAGAGTATTGCGTGACGTACGGTACAAAAGCAATTACGTGAAGCCCAAAGAATTTCTTTGTTAAAACGCTTTTATTGGAGGAATCTTAAATAAAAGAAGATTCACAGTTCGGCTTTATGCTCTACAGCATCTGGATGTGCTTGGAGTCACATTTCAACTTTGCATGAAGGCACTTAAATGAGTAGTATAATATTTTCTTTAGGGATTCAAATTGGCATTAACGTTGTTATTGCACTGTAGTGTCTTGGTGTCTGTTATTCACCCCCCCTCCAAAATATGATGGTGACAGTTGAGTTAAAATGTGTAATGTGTGAATGACACTATCCGGCACTGACACTGGAGCTGGAACATCAGCTCCACAACACAAAATACCTGCCACTTTCTGATAATAAAGCTCATTTGATGTTACAAGTGACATTAAACTATTCTTTAAAAATCCCTGAAAAATATGTTGGTATTAAAAAACACAAATCAACATGAGCTTCTCTTCCCACAAGTTTCACCAAATGATAAAGATAAATATCTGACCTTTCTGAGAAATAGGGCAGACTTTTGTTTTCATCTATGGATAAAAGCCTATCATGTATCACCAGTTTGTGAGCACCTCAACTAAAAACCAATACAATGAGTCACTGAATATTTGTTGAAAGTGTTTGTTGGGTGTTATGTAACCAGTAATTACTATGACAACATAACAAAGTGCATCCAAACTTTTCCACCTCTGTTTCTGGAAAGTTGTTTGAATGGACAACCTCTGCCTGGTTTCACACGTGAACAGCTCAATTTACAGAATCTACATGTTGGTGGCAGGAACTATAGGACTGAAACATGCCCAGTACAAGCTCAGGAACTACATCTTTCCGATCCTATTACAGCTCAGGATCACAGGAAGCTAAATCAATACAGCACTGGGCAAAAGCTTTAGACACGTCAGATGTTTAGATTCTGATCCATCATCAATACTCTCAGGGACATGGCTGAATGGTTCCCAAGTCATGCTGCAGTACAACAACTACTTTAAAATCTCCAAGCCGGGGTTTTTACAACATATATTCACTGACAAGAAGAACCAGGAGACCTGCAGCACATGATCTGGCCCCACAGAGCCCTGATCTCAACATTATTATACATGCAGAGACAGAATACACTGAAACTGCTTAAATGCACAAGAATTGTGGCAAGTTCTCTGAGATGACTCGAACAACCAAGCTGAGAAGTTAAGAAATTTCCCCATGGGGATTATTAAAGTATAATTTTAAAAAAAGTACATAAAAACAACAGCTGTGAGCATGTGTACTGAGGAGAACCATGACTGTGTTTGGCTAAAGAAAGCTTGTATGAGGACACATTATGAAAGCCCACTCAGACAACTTTACATCATACTGTTACAACACATAATAAAACACAAATGCTGGACTGTTGAGGAGCAGAGTCTCTCATTTTTTTGCAGTTCTGGCAGTCTCCCTCAAATTCTGGAGTACAAATCCATCACCTTATTGCAAGTATGTCTGTTGTTGAACCAGGAAAAAGGGAACAAGGAAAACTGAAAAAGCAGGTCTAGATTCACATGCTCTAAACCTGTGATCTTATTGCTGCACGTGCAACTGCTGACGTGCAGCTGGTCAGCTGTCCTCCCAGTCTCCACCACAGAGGGAGTCCTGGGCTGGCTGCAGGAGAACAGT